GGTCTCAACTCGAACAGGACGGAGGCGAGGAGAGGCCGGAGTGCCTATCCTCAACCAAGATAGGCTCCCAGGTGCATGGTTTCATCTTGGAGAAAAGAGAAAGGACGAGGCCTCAACCAATATGAGGTCCGAGGTGCGTGACCCCAGCAAAAAGACGACGGAGGCAAGGACAAGGCCGGGGTTCGAAGTGCGTGGCCCCAGGAAGCTCAAGCTGAAGAAGACAGAGGCAAGAACGAGGCCGGGAGGGCTTATCCTCAACCAATATAAGTTTCCGAGGCGTGGAAGCTCAAGATGAAGAAGGGCAAGGACAAGGCCGGGAGGGTTTATCATCAACCAATATGGGTTTCCAAGACGTGGGGTCTCAAGCTGCAGAAGCGCAATGACAAGGCCGGGAGGGTTTATCCTCAACTAGTATGGGTTTCCGAGGTGTGGAAGCTCACAAGTCGAAGAAGACAGAGGCAAGGACAAGGCCGGGAGGGTTTATACTCAACCAGTATGGGTTTCCGAGGTGCGGAAGCTCACAAGTCGAAGAAGACAGAGGCAACGGCAAGGCCGGGAGAGCTTATCCTCAACCGATGTGGGTTTCCGAGGTGCGGAAGCTCACAAGTCGAAGAAGACAGAGGCAACGGCAAGGCCGGGAGAGCTTATCCTCAACCGATGTGGGTTTCCGGGGTGTGGAAGCTCCAGCCGAAGAAGACAGAGGCAGGGACAAGGCGGGAAGGCTTATCCTCAACCGGTATGGGGTTCCGAGGTGTGGGAGCTCAAGCCGAAGAAGACAGAGGCAAGGACAATCCAGGGTATGGAAGCTTGAGCCTCAACCAATGTGGGTTGCCGAGGTGTGTGGTCTCAGCGACAAGGCTGAGAGGGCTTATCCGGAGAGCTTTTCCTCAAACAAAACAGGAACCTGAAGGTATGCAGTTCAGGAGCTAGCCGACCTTCCCCCTCCCCCTCCCTCCCCCTCCCATGCCCTATTGACGGCCTCCCTTCCAGAGGTGGCACGAATTCTGAGGGAAGGTAGTGGCAGAAATCAATGGGGTGCGGGGTCTCCCCCCCGCCCCCCCTCCCCCGCCCTCCCCCCCCCCCTCCTGGGCCGGGAGGGTAGTGGGCAGACACCAAAACACAATCCTCAACTAAAATGGGGCGTTGGTTCCCGCCCCTCCCCGCCCCCCTCCCCCACCCTCCCCCCTCCCTCCCCCTCCCCACCCGGTGCCTCCTCCGCCATTTTAGTTGAGGATTTTTTTTGGTCACTACCCCCCGTGAGACTCGTGCCACCCTCCGGAGGAGGCACCGGGTGGGGAGGGGGAGGGAGGGGGGAGGGTGGGGGAGGGGGGCGGGGAGGGGCGGGAACCAACGCCCCATTTTAGTTGAGGATTGTGTTTTGGTGTCTGCCCACTACCCTCCCGGCCCAGGAGGGGGGGGGGAGGGCGGGGGAGGGGGGGCGGGGGGGAGACCCCGCACCCCATTGATTTCTGCCACTACCTTCCCTCAGAATTCGTGCCACCTCTGGAAGGGAGGCCGTCAATAGGGCATGGGAGGGGGAGGGAGGGGGAGGGGGAAGGTCGGCTAGCTCCTGAACTGCATACCTTCAGGTTCCTGTTTTGTTTGAGGAAAAGCTCTCCGGATAAGCCCTCTCAGCCTTGTCGCTGAGACCACACACCTCGGCAACCCACATTGGTTGAGGCTCAAGCTTCCATACCCTGGATTGTCCTTGCCTCTGTCTTCTTCGGCTTGAGCTCCCACACCTCGGAACCCCATACCGGTTGAGGATAAGCCTTCCCGCCTTGTCCCTGCCTCTGTCTTCTTCGGCTGGAGCTTCCACACCCCGGAAACCCACATCGGTTGAGGATAAGCTCTCCCGGCCTTGCCGTTGCCTCTGTCTTCTTCGACTTGTGAGCTTCCGCACCTCGGAAACCCACATCGGTTGAGGATAAGCTCTCCCGGCCCTGCCGTTGCCTCTGTCTTCTTCGACTTGTGAGCTTCCGCACCTCGGAAACCCATACTGGTTGAGTATAAACCCTCCCGGCCTTGTCCTTGCCTCTGTCTTCTTCGACTTGTGAGCTTCCACACCTCGGAAACCCATACTAGTTGAGGATAAACCCTCCCGGCCTTGTCATTGCGCTTCTGCAGCTTGAGACCCCACGTCTTGGAAACCCATATTGGTTGATGATAAACCCTCCCGGCCTTGTCCTTGCCCTTCTTCATCTTGAGCTTCCACGCCTCGGAAACTTATATTGGTTGAGGATAAGCCCTCCCGGCCTCGTTCTTGCCTCTGTCTTCTTCAGCTTGAGCTTCCTGGGGCCACGCACTTCGAACCCCGGCCTTGTCCTTGCCTCCGTCGTCTTTTTGCTGGGGTCACGCACCTCGGACCTCATATTGGTTGAGGCCTCGTCCTTTCTCTTTTCTCCAAGATGAAACCATGCACCTGGGACCCTATCTTGGTTGAGGATAGGCACTCCGGCCTCTCCTCGCCTCCGTCCTGTTCGAGTTGAGACCACGCACCTCAGACCCGGTTTTGGTTGAGGAGAAGTGCTCCGGCCTGGTTCCCGCCTCCATCCTCTTCAAGTTGAGACCGCGCACCTGGGACCCCATATTGATTGAGGATAGGCACTCCGGCCTGGTCTCGGCTTCTGTTCTCTCCAGACCACGAACCTGGGAACCCATGACAGTTGAGGATAGGCGATCCGGCCTTGTCGCCGCCTCTGTCTTCTTCAGGTTGAGACCACGCGCCGAGAACGTATTCTGAGAGTAAGTCCTTCGAGCTTGTTGTCGCCTCCTCTTGAAGCTCGCCTTCTTCTGGCTTCAAGCACCTGGCACTGATGCACGCTGCGGTAGGGCACGCACCTAGGAGCCCATATCGGTTGAGGATAAGTGCTCCGCCCTCGTCCCCACCTTCACCTTCTTCGGGCCGAGATCGCGTACCTGGGACTCCACGTTGGTCGAGGATAAGCGCTCCGGCCTCGTCCCCGCCTCCGCTTTCGCACCTGGGACCCCATATTGGTTGAGGATAAGCGCTCCGGCCTCGTCCCTGCCGAGCACGCACCTGGGACCCCAGCTCCGGCCTCGTCCCCGCCTCCGCCTTCTTCGGGCTGAGACCACGCGCCTGGAACCCCATATTGCGCCGGCCTGGTCCGCGAGAGCACGCACCTGGGACCCCATATTGGTTGAGGATAAGCGCTCCCGCCTCCGAGCACGCGCCTGGAACATATTGGTTGAGGATAAGCGCTCCGGCCTCGTCGCCTTCTTCGGGCTGAGACCACGCACCTGGGACCCCATATTGGGTGAGGATAAATGCTCCGGCCTCGTCCCTGCCTCCGCCTTCTTCGACTGAGACCACGCACCTGGGACCCCACATTGGTTGAGGATAATCAGCGCTCACCTCCTCACTTCGGTCTTCTTGGGGTTGGGACCACGTACCTGGGACACCATGCAGGCGAGAGCGGATGGAGGGGGAGGGGGAGGGAAGGGGGGAGGGAGGGGGGGGACCCTCCGGAGGGGGCACCGGGTGGGGGGAGGGAGGGGGGGGAGGGTGGGGAGGGGTGCGGGGGAGCCCCACACCCCATTTTAGTTGAGGATTGTTTTTTGGTCACTACCCCCCGTGAGACTCGTGCCACCCTCCGGAGGAGGCACCGGGTGGGGAGGGGGAGGGAGGGGGGGAGGGTGGGGGAGGGGGGCGGGGAGGGGCGGGAACCAACGCCCCATTTTAGTTGAGGATTGTCTTTTGGTGTCTGCCACTCCCTCCCGGCCCACTGCCCTGCCCTGCCCTGCCCTGCCCTGCCCTGCCCTGCCCTGCCCTGCCCTGCCCTGCCCTGCCCTGCCCTGCCCTGCCCTGCCTCCTGCCCTGCCCTGCCCTGCCCTGCCCTGCCCTGCCCTGCCTGCCCTGCCTTGCCGTGCCGTGCGCTGCGCTGCCCTGTGCCGCCCTGCCCTGCTGCCCCGCCCCGCCCTGCCCTGCCTGCTCTCCTCTGCCTGTCCCACCCTGCCCTGCTCTGCCCTTCCCTTCTTCGTACAATGTTTATTGCTGCTATTGTTGATTTGACGAAGCTGCAAAGGCTCGCTTTCTAACGGAGCTGCACATACATGCCAAAGCTCGCTTTCTAACGGAGCTGCGCATACAATTTCTATTTATCCTGCTCTTGAGGGTTTAGGGTTTTTAGGGTTTAGGGTTTAGGGTTTAGGGTTTAGGGTTTAGGGTTTAGGGTTTAGGGTTTAGGGTTTAGGGTTTAGGGTTTAGGGTTTAGGGTTTTAGGGTTTATAGGGTTTATAAAATTGTATAGGGTTCAGGTCCCGAGTTTTGACCGAGTTTTGACCGAGTTTTGACAAAGTTTTTACCGAGTTTTGAGCGGGTTTTTGTTTTTGCTTTGTCATTTTGACTTTGGGAAGTGGCTGGGCTGGGCTGGACCGGCTAGGGCTTGGGCATTCGGCTGGCGAAGTGGCTGGGCTGGGCTGGACCAGCTAGGGCTTGGGCATTGTCGGCTGGCTAAGCCCCCGGCTTGAGCTGCGAAGGGGTTGATTGACCGGGCTGGTGGGCTGGGCCCTGGTGCGTAGGGGCTGAGGCGGGTGGGTCTAAAATCTGAAGGCAAGGAGGGTGGCGGGGGTTCAGGTCCCGAGTGGGCTTGGGCATTATTGGCTGGCTGAGCCCTTGATTGACCGGGCTGGGACTGGGGAAGGGGGCTCTGGGCTGGGCTGGGTGCTGCTGTTGCGGGGTTGTGGGCTGCTGGGCTGCTGGGCTGGGCCCTGGGGCGTAGGGGCTGAGACGGTTGGGTCTAAAATCTGAAGGCAAAGAGGGTGGCGGGATTTGGTTCAGCTTGCCTGCGTCATGCGGCTCGCAGGTTACCATGGCGGTCTTGAGGATACGCACCTGGCACTCCACGCTAGTTGCGGTCTAAGTGAGCGGGTTTGGGAGGGGGTGGGAGGGGCAGAGCGAGGGGGAGGGAAGGGAGCGGGGGAGGGAAGGGGGGGGAGGGGGGGGACCCTCCGGAGGGGGCACCGGGTGGGGGGGGAGGGTGGGGAGGGGTGCGGGGGAGCCCCACACCCCATTTTAGTTGAGGATTGTTTTTTGGTGTCTGCCCACTACCCCCCGTGAGACTCGTGCCACCCTCCGGAGGAGGCACCGGGTGGGGAGGGGGAGGGAGGGGGGAGGGTGGGGGAGGGGGGCGGGGAGGGGCGGGAACCAACGCCCCATTTTAGTTGAGGATTGTGTTTTGGTGTCTGCCCACTACCCTCCCGGCCCAGGAGGGGGGGGGGAGGGCGGGGGAGGGGGGGCGGGGGGGAGACCCCGCACCCCATTGATTTCTGCCACTACCTTCCCTCAGAATTCGTGCCACCCTGCCACCTCTGGAAGGGAGGCCGTCAATAGGGCATGGGAGGGGGAGGGAGGGGGAGGGGGAAGGTCGGCTAGCTCCTGAACTGCATACCTTCAGGTTCCTGTTTTGTTTGAGGAAAAGCTCTCCGAATAAGCCCTCTCAGCCTTGTCGCTGAGACCACACACCTCGGCAACCCACATTGGTTGAGGCTCAAGCTTCCATACCCTGGATTGTCCTTGCCTCTGTCGTCTTCGGCTTGAGCTCCCACACCTCGGAACCCCATACCGGTTGAGGATAAGCCTTCCCGCCTTGTCCCTGCCTCTGTCTTCTTCGGCTGGAGCTTCCACACCCCGGAAACCCACATCGGTTGAGGATAAGCTCTCCCCGCCTTGCCGTTGCCTCTGTCTTCTTCGACTTGTGAGCTTCCGCACCTCGGAAACCCACATCGGTTGAGGATAAGCTCTCCCGGCCTTGCCGTTGCCTCTGTCTTCTTCGACTTGTGAGCTTCCGCACCTCGGAAACCCATACCGGTTGAGTATAAACCCTCCCGGCCTTGTCCTTGCCTCTGTCTTCTTCGACTTGTGAGCTTCCACACCTCGGAAACCCATACTAGTTGAGGATAAACTCTCCCGGCCTTGTCATTGCGCTTCTGCAGCTTGAGACCCCACGTCTTGGAAACCCATATTGGTTGATGATAAACCCTCCCGGCCTTGTCCTTGCCCTTCTTCATCTTGAGCTTCCACGCCTCGGAAACTTATATTGGTTGAGGATAAGCCCTCCCGGCCTCGTTCTTGCCTCTGTCTTCTCCAGCTTGAGCTTCCTGGGGCCACGCACTTCGAACCCCGGCCTTGTCCTTGCCTCCGTCGTCTTTTTGCTGGGTTCACGCACCTCGGACCTCATATTGGTTGAGGCCTCGTCCTTTCTCTTTTCTCCAAGATGAAACCATGCACCTGGGACCCTATCTTGGTTGAGGATAGGCACTCCGGCCTCTCCTCGCCTCCGTCCTGTTCGAGTTGAGACCACGCACCTCAGACCCGGTTTTGGGTGAGGAGAAGTGCTCCGGCCTGGTTCCCGCCTCCATCCTCTTCAAGTTGAGACCGCGCACCTGGGACCCCATATTGATTGAGGATAGGCACTCCGGCCTGGTCTCGGCTTCTGTTCTCTCCAGACCACGAACCTGGGAACCCATGACAGTTGGGGATAGGCGATCCGGCCTTGTCGCCGCCTCTGTCTTCTTCAGGTTGAGACCACGCGCCGAGAACGTATTCTGAGAGTAAGTCCTTCGAGCTTGTTGTCGCCTCCTCTTGAAGCTCGCCTTCTTCTGGCTTCAAGCACCTGGCACTGATGCACGCTGTGGTAGGGCACGCACCTAGGACCCCATATCGGTTGAGGATAAGTGCCTCCGCCCTAGTCACAACCTTAACCTTTCTTCGGCAGAGAAGTCGGTACCTGGGACTCCACGTTGGTCGAGGATAAGCGCTCCGGCCTCGTCCCCGCCTCCGCTTTCGCACCTGGGACCCCTTATTGGGTGAGGATAAGCGCTCCGGCCTCGTCCCTGCCGAGCACGCACCTGGGACCCCAGCTCCGGCCTCGTCCCCGCCTCCGCCTTCTTCGGGATGAGACCACGCGCCTGGAACCCCATATTGCGCCGGCCTGGTCCGCGAGAGCACGCACCTGGGACCCCATATTGGTTGAGGATAAGCGCTCCCGCCTCCGAGCACGCGCCTGGAACCTTTTGATTGAGGAAAAGCGCTCCGGCCTCGTCGCCTTCTTCGGGCTGAGACCACGCACCTGGGACCCCATATTGGGTGAGGATAAGTGCTCCGGCCTCGTCCCTGCCTCCGCCTTCTTCGACTGAGACCACGCACCTGGGACCCCGCATTGGTTGAGGATAATCAGCGCTCACCTCCTCACTTCGGTCTTCTTGGGGTTGGGACCACGTACCTGGGACACCATGCAGGCGAGCCTGCACAGCTTCGTTCCCGCTGCCGGCCTTTTTCTTCTTGAGGATACGCACCTGGCACTCCACGCTGGTTGCGGTCTAAGTGAGCGGGTTTGGGAGGGGGGTGGGAGGGGCAGAGCGAGGGGGAGGGAAGGGAGCGGGGGAGGGAAGGGGGGGAGGGAGGGGGGGGACCCTCCGGAGGGGGGCACCGGGTGGGGGGGGGAGGGAGGGGGGGAGTGGGGAGGGGTGCGGGGAGCCACACCCCATTTTAGTTGAGGATTGTTTTTACCCCCCGTGAGACTCGTGCCACCCTCCGGAGGAGGCACCGGGTGGGGACGGGGAGGGAGGGGGGGAGGGTGGGGGAGGGGGGCGGGGAGGGGCGGGAACCAACGCCCCATTTTAGTTGAGGATTGTCTTTTGGTGTCTGCCCACTACCCTCCCGGCCCAGGAGGGGGGGGGGAGGGCGGGGGAGGGGGGGCGGGGGGGAGACCCCGCACCCCATTGATTTC